TTCAGAGAGCAAAGGGAACTGACTGCAAGAAGTAATGGGTGATGCTCTTTTTCTGCTTTCAAAGGTCTGAGGACTTCAAAGGTCTGAATCCCAGCTCCTTTTCTCCCAATGTGTCCTCCAGCCTGCAAAGTCTGCCCACTTCATCCAATAATTTCTTTTTGTGTTAGGGCAGGTTTTCTCTCCGTAGCCACTAGTTCTTTCCTCCACACAGACAAACATCCTCAGTTCTTTCTTCTTCTGCCTCTCTGCTTCTTTTCTATTATGGGTCCAAAGAACCATTTGTATCCCTCAATTCTCATAGTCACTCATTTTAGTTCCTCATTTACATGGCTTCCTGTTTTCTAAGCAGATCAAACCAGGAAAGAGGAAAATTTCTCAGGAAAGACAGTGGATTCACTATTGGCCAGGAAGATGGAAAAAGAGGTGTAAAGATCTGGATAATTTCATACATAGCACTGCTAGATTTTGGGTTGTAAAGAGTCACACACAGAACAAGGGCACATATACTGCTAAAATCATAAGAGTTAGGCTGTTGTCCTTGGAACTGAGTGCTGAGCTGTAGGAACCCTATGGAATGCTAACAAAATCTAAGGTTAAAGGGTTTAATGAAGGAAACACCCGGAGAATGAGGGGTGCTGGTCAAATCAGAAGGATAGCAAAAAGGAGCAGTATCTAGAGTTCAAAAGATCCAGAAGTTCTAAAAGGTATTGATGAGGTGACATTGTCCAAGGACTTAGAAGACCCAGTTGTAACAGGATGGCCCTGGTCATCATTGGTGACTTTGGTCAGAGCAAGTTCAACTGGGAAGTGGAGACAGAAAGCAGATTAGAGTGAACTAAAAACTAGGTGTGATGATGCATGCCTGTAATCCCAGCATTTAGGAGCAGGGCTAGGGCTTGTGAGGTTGAGGCAGGAGGGTCACTGTGGGTTTGAGGTCACCTTGGGCTACATGGTGAATTGAAGTCCAGCCTAAACTGCATAGCAAGATCCTGTTTCAAAATAAATAAATACTATTTTTTTTTAATTAAAAAAGAAGGAACTAAAGATTAAACAAAATTAAACAAGGGCTGGAGATGTGGAAATGTAGCTCAGTGGCAGAATGCTTGCTTAGTATGTGTGAAGCTGGGTTCAATCCCCAGCACTGTAAAAATAAAAGACTATAAGAGAGGACATAGAAAGAGTGCATGTGAACAACTTTCTGAAGAAGCTTTGCAAGGAGAGTGAGTCAGTAGATTGGTAGGTAGAGAGAGCAGAATCAAGGGGTAGTTGTTTTTAAAGTATTTTTAGGCAAAGATAAATTTCTGTCTTTTTCTTGCTTTGCATTAATATAAAAAATTTATCTAATGAATGTAGGGCTCCCTACTTCATCTTTTCATTCTTTTGAAATTTTATTTCTCTTCTTGAAATACAAGCAAGAACAGCTGTTTAAAATGACTATGCCACTTTTGGCTACAGTGGTATCATCAGTAATGACAATAGCACTAAACATAGCCTAGAAAATGATAAATTGAACTAACCATTAATTTGTCACTTTAAACCATATGAAATAGATTTGTGGTTATATAACAAAATCTAAAACAAACCAGAAAATTATGTGCAGTATACAAGTCTTTAATATGTCAATTTTGCCTTCAGGCTTTAAAATATAAAATGGGTTAGGGAGAAAATAGAGAAGTGGAAGAAGAGGAATAGATTAAAAGTAAGGCTGGAGGACAAAGGGGGATCACAGTAACTTTAGGAAATTGGTGCAGAAGACTGGAGGGAAAGAGAGGAGGAAGAGATAAAAAGAAGAACAGAACAAAATCACAGCCATAAAGAGGCTAGAAAGCATGTTCACATTCATATAAAACAAGATCAAACAGTGAAGAAGAAAAACAACAAAAAACAAAGAACAAAAACTCAAACAAAACCACAATAACAACAACAAAAAGACAGAGAGAGAGAGAGAGAGAGAGAAAATAAACAAGTCCATTTCTAGGTATGTCTCTACTGTCACTGATAAACAACATGTGGAAACAGAGTCCTGATCCATGTTGGTTTATCCCAGCAAGCCAGCAGTAGCTTTTTGGTTGGGTAATGGGTAATCTCAGTGAGCCTGCACCTTCTGGCTGAGACCAAACTCATTCAGCCTGCTGCCATCAGCACACCTTCTGTGGGCCTGAGTCCAACTGGGAGCCTCTAGATAGAGCCAGCAGTCACTCTGAGTTTTGAGCTCAGTTAGCCTCTCTTCAAGATGGCTCCTGGCCAATCACTTTCTCATATGGAGTGACTGAGCCCTCAGCACTCACTGCCAGCTAGTGCAGTCCTTCATGTCTGCTGCTCCTCTGCACTGCTGTGTCTCTCCATGGAGGCCTTTGGGATTGCCAGTACTCACCATGTGTCCACAGGGTTTTTTTTTTTTTTTTTCTGGTACCAGGAATCAAACTCATGACCTTGCGCTTGCCAGGCAGGCACTGTGCCGCTGAGCTAAATCCCCAGCCCCACCATGTGTCCACAGGTTTGAACCATTCCTCTTGTGCAGTGAGTCCTGTCTCAGGGAGAAGGTGCCACTGACTACCTCCTTCTTCTTCATTGATGTTTCTCTCTTTACTCTCTCCTGGGCTTCAATTCACACTTTAGATCTTTCCTGGGTCCAAGGGACCCAGGCACTTGTACCAATCAATAAGGTTGACGTTACCTGTATGAGGAAGATGCTTCTCCACCAGTGCACATTGCCTGCTAAACACACACACCTGGGGAGTATACCAGGCAGTGGAAGAAAATGTCACATTCCCTAGCAACATTTGAAAATTTATGAAAGTACCCGTGACAGTGAATATGCTCATCAGCCCCGTATTAGTCTGTTTTGTGAAACTGCAATAGAATATCACAGACTGGGTAATATATGAGGAATAGAACTTTATTTGGCTTACAGTTCTGGAGGCAAGGAAGTCCAAATTCAAGGAGCCCATGTCTGGTGAGGGCCTTTGTGCTGTTCATCCATGGAGGAAGGTGGAAGGGTGAGAGAACAAGAGAAAGAAAGAGGGATCCAAACCTAGTTCTAGAGAAAACCTTCTGTCCCAGTAACAATTCTAATCCCAGGACACTGAAATTAATCCATCCATCTCTTATAGGTCCCTTGCTGTTGCACTGAGACTAATTTTCCAACACATGAACTTTGGGGACATATTCAAACCATAGCAATGCTTTATCACAGTATTCTTGAACTAGAAGCCATTTGGAGGCAAAGTGCTCCTCACTTTGTCTTGTAACCTTGGGCTGAGACAGAGACTGCTCAGAATAAAGCAGATATGGGAGACAACTGGGACCTTGCTTCTGTTTTAGGCTGAGGCAAAGAAAGCTATACTTTTTGTGTGGAAGATGGAATAGATGTCTCTGTAAAAGTCAGATAAAGGTGTAAAGGACTTTATGAGTGTGTGTGTGTGTGTGTGTGTGTATGAGTGTGTGTGTGTGTGTGTGTGTGTGCGTGTGCATGTGCACACATGTTAGGGTGGGGTGGCATTGGGAAGAGCTCTTTCTAAGCCACAGTTCACAAAAGAGAAGGGTGTCCCTATAGTTAAGCTTCATTTGCTTGTCAGTTCCAATTTGAAATACGAATTTGGAGCTGGAAGTATAGCTCAGTGGGTAGACCACATGTTTGGCATATGTGAAGTTCTGGGTTTTATGTGAAGTGTCTGGTATTGCCCTCCCCCCGTGACAAGTGGGATATGTTTCTTATAACAAAGCAGAAAAAAAGAACACAGAATAACATAAGAAATAAAACCAACTAATTATGGTACTCCAAGTTTGCTAAGAAATTTATCGTCAATAATCTCATGCTTTTCTGACAACTTTAGGATGTAAGCGGTATTAGTTTATTTCCTTAGGTAAACCAAGAATTTACAGATGTGATAAGTTATTACCAGGTTTCACAACCAGTAAGTGCTAAAATCAGGTTTTAAACCTACTAGATCAGAGTTAGGAGTCTGTGTTCTGTCCAGGATACACCCCTACTGGATGCCGGCAACACACATCACAGAGAAATCTGAACAGGCTACGTGAGTCTGGAAGAGTGTGGTGGTTCTGGACACCCACTATCTGAGAGGGTCAGAGGAGAAGACTCCTGCTCGGAGGGAGATCCAGTGCCAGAAGTCCTCTGAGTAGATTGGCCTTGTTATATATCCATTCCTCGGACACTTAGGGGAATAACAGGAATAATAAAGTAATTCATCTTGGACTAAAGATGCTGTTTATTTTTCCTAAACTTAGGAATCTGAAGGGATGCCTCCATGGGCCCAGGATAAATTTAATATATGGAATTCACCAAGCTCCCAGTTCCTCACGTACCTCCCAACCCTCTTTTACTTTTTCATAACCTTTAATAACCATGAAACTTCTAGGACCATGCACCATCCAGCACAATGCTACCACTGAAAACTGTTATTATTCACCTAGAAAAGCAGACATCATAAAAGATGCCTAGAGACATCATAAAATGTGTTCTGGAAGCTTTATGGTGGAGAGTGGATGAAGGAAGGGCAACCAGGAATCTGGGGGAAGATAGTCTGCTGTTAGATGATTATGGCATTTGCTGGTAAAGACTTAACTGATAAAGTTTCTAAATTCAGTGTCAGCGGTGAGAACCACCCAGCACTGCCCACACCACCAGGAATGGAGGACCACAGTCCTGGCAATGAGCACAGCCGTACAGAGAGAGGGTGGACATGGGAAGTAAGCAACCTGGACTTCACCTGCACAAGAACAGGAAAGACTCCTGGGCACCCTTTGTCCCCACAAGCTCCAAGGAGCTGACTGTGTGGGAAGCTATCCTGAGCCTGGCGGTGCCGAGACACCCACTGGCAGGGGTGTAAAAGGAAGCTGCTGCCCAGGCCTTGGCACAGCTGAGAGCGGATTCTCCAGCCCGCCCTCATCCTTACACGAGAGCAGCCTGTCTGGTCCTTCCTGGCTCTGTGCTGCCCACTTCCTGCTGCCCTGCTGCGTCTTCTGCCATCCAGACTGAGATGGAGAAGGTCCTGATTGTGCTGCTACTGCTGGGGGCTTTCCCTCTTGTCTTCTTCCAAGGTGTGAGTGGGGCTTTGATGAGCAGGGGACGGGGAGAGTGAGGCTGAGGACATAGAGGAGGCTTGGGAGCAGAGCTGGGATGATGGTGAGCAGCCTGGGCTGTGATCCTCTGGGGAAGGCAGAGTTCAAGGTCAGGCTTTGGGGGTGATCTAACTAACAGGGAAGGTAGGGCTCTGTGCTGAGTCCACCCTGACTCCTCCCAAGGTAGGAGTTGAAGTCTCTTCCCAAGCTGTCAGGGTGGGGTCAGTCACTGGAAAAGATTGGTTTTGGGGTACTGCTGTTAATTTAGGGGTTTGAGTCTGGCTGGCCTAATGTTTCAGCTAAAGGTTTCCAAAAACCTATGTGGAATCCTCCTAGAGTATCATGTAGCAAAAAGAGGTTACTAAAGGGCTTACCTTTTTTTTTTTGAGACAAGCTCTCACTGTGTAGTTCAAGCTGGCCTTGAACTCACTATGTGGCCCAGGTTGGCCTGGAACTTATGGTGATCCTCCTGCCTCAGCCTCTCCGATGCTGGGATTATAGGCATACACCACCACGCTTGACTAAAGGGCTTATTTTAAACCAGTTTTTCATAGCAAGTACATTCTTTTTGCTCAGTGATGTGTGTTCTTTGGATAACTTTTAGTGGTGTTTTAGGAAATATGTAGACGCTAAACCTTTCTTCAAGTCAGTATAGTCATTATATCCTATCCTTTTCTCCAAGGATACTAGCTCCAGGCTCGCTGTCCACAGAAACCCTGTCATTGTTCTGCATGGAGACACCATGTTGCAGGAATATCTTCCCTCAGTGTCAGGAGAGTGTGAGCAAAGAACTGGTAGTAAGAGAAATTTAACTAGGCTCTAGGGAATGGAATTTAAGGAGGCAAAATCTCTCTGCTTTGTTTAAGTGAAAAATCTGAACTTGCACCTGCTTCTTCATATCTCCACATGCAATATCTCACCTCCTAGTATTTTTCATATCAGCCAGCAAATATTGTCCTATAGAAGCTTATTTGCTTATTTTTAAAAATCAGTTTTTATGAGATATAATTAACATACCATAAATTTATGCATTAGAGGTGTAAATCAATTTAATGAACTGTGAGACCCATAGGCCAAAGAGTCCATATCTTAATATCCAAAGGAAAGTATCTAATGAGAATACAGACAGCCCTCAATTATGTGTAAGTGTCTGTAGGGTCATGCTTCATCGCTAAACTACTCTAGCTCATGGTGTTCCTCATTTATGCACCTCTAGGCTTAGCTTTCTTGTCTGTTCTCCCTAGCTCAAGCCACATTATGTATGGTCTGTGACGTATTTATGAATGGCAAATGTGTGCAAGGCAAGGGCAACTGTACCATGGAGGAAGGTGGTGGATGCAGAACCAGGGACATCTATTTTTTCACCTCAAGAGGTAATACTACTCCAAAGTGCAAGGTAGCCCTGTGCAGGAGATATACATGTTTCTACTGAGGAGTGGGGGATTCTTTAACATTGAGCCCCAGGTATTGTTTTCTGACACTAAGTATGAGTGTTATTCTTTTCCAGATGGGTTTTCCTACAACTACACTATATTGGACTGCTCAAATCCATGTAAGGCTTGGAAGTTGTATAATGAGGATCTGAAGGTTTCAAGCTTTTGCTGCCAAAGTCGAGATTTTTGTAATAGATACAAAGGAAAAATAGTGAATAAGAATATTTTCTGACTGTCAACTTCTGTACCTATTTCTTTTCCTGGCATCTCTGGTCTATCACTCCAATATATGCTTTGTTGAGGATGCAGCATCGTCATATAACCCCCAACCGCACTCCTTCTCCTCTTTCCTGAACACTGGGTCCTCCGCTCTGTGCACTCAGCCCTTTCCGTGCGTCCTAGCATTCTCTTCCTTCTTCATTCCCGTCTAATTGCCTTACTTTGCCTTTCTCCATCCCTCATAATCACTGGGTTACCTGCCTGGCTTACTGCCTGGCTTACTGCCTGGCTTTTAGTCCCACTAATTTAGAAGTGCTGTCAATGCCCAGCTAGTTGATGGGCTGCATTTTATACATCAGGAGTTGCAGGGGTTAGTAGGATACTCAGGAAGACATGTCTAGTTGGCAGAATGGCCAGAGAGGTCCTAAAATTCAGGAAGACATCCAGGCTTGAGGCAGGCAAGTCGAGATCCTTGGCTTTGGACACATTCCCAGAACCTACCAACAGCTCCCTGATGAGATCTAAAGAGTCGATGAGTGAATGAAGAGAGTGAATGAAGGTCATTCTCTAGAAGAGTAATCAGAGAGATAGGCGGGGAGCCAGGGCTGAACTACATCACTGTTTTCTGGTACAACTCTAAGGTTATTAGTGAAGGAGCTTCAGTGAGGAAATGGGGCAGAAGCCACAGCCCAGTGGGCTGAGGAATGAACGGACCATCACAGGAGGAGAGAACAACTTGTGCAACTCTTCAAGAAACTTGGGAGTAATTGAGGAAGGGTGTGACTGTTTTTTCTTTAAAGAATGAGTTTAATAAGCTTTTAAGTGAAAATAGTCTTTGGTCCTCACTTTGCATAAAGTGCTCCTCATGAAGACTGTAAGAATCTGCCACTGTCTTTTTACTAGCAACTACAACTGCAACAACTACCTGTCACTAACAACTACAGCAATCATAATGGTGACAGCCTCAAAATTCTTGCTCACATTAAGAATCTTTGCCACTATCTTTTTTCTTTTAGAGTATGTATTTTCAAAAAGTATCTTACCTAATAAATATTTTTTTCCCTTGTCTTTTTTCTTTGTATTAAATTCCCTCTGTCCTTTATCCATTTCTTCATTCTCTTTTCCTCCACAGAGGTGATACAAGTGTGCAGAATTTTATTAACATGTTATATATTACTCATTGAATATAATTTTATACCTCTCACTCATAAATTAAGATGTAAGAGGAATATTTTATATGTATCTTGTGAAGACTGATACTGAATTTATATTTGGTTGACCTTGACTGAGTCAAATTTTTGAACAAATAAAATCTTAAAAATCTACTTTTCTGTTTCAGAACATCAATATTTTTTCAGGGAATTTTTTTCCTTTTAAAGTGACTGAACTGCAGCTAAAAGGGAATGCAGTTTGAATTAACTATTGGGGAGTAGGGTACAAGGTAGAGTTTTGTTTTTAAATACTAAAAAGTTACTAACAACTACAACAATCATAATAGTGACCGCCTCAAAATTTTTGCTCACGTTAAGCTGGGTCTCCTATCTCATTCCACCGAAAGGACCCTGAGTGTATCATGGTGATGAGGACAGGGCTGGTGAGCAGGCTTTTTGTTATTCTACAAACTGCTCACCAGCCCATACCCACATGACCAATGTAAATTCTGAACTTTGTCAAATATTTGAGAAATACAAATGAGTTAACAGAAAAAGAAAAAAATGACACAATAAGTAAGCCTAGTGGAGCTGGGGATTTAGCTCAGCGGCAAAAGCGCCTGCCTGGCAAGCGCAAGGTCGTGTCGTGAGTTCGGTTCCTGGTACCAGAGAAAAACCAAAAAAAAAAAAGTAAGCCTAGTGACTTGCTTTCAAAAAGTGCAATATAAAAAGGGAAGAAACACACCTTTCCAGTGCACTAGCCAGTGAACAATGCCCCAGCCCATGGTCAAGGTAATGGCTGTCAGTGCTGGAGCAGGTGTCCAGCACACACTTCGGTGTGGTGGGAGATGAATGGTCCTTCACCTCCGTGATCCTCCCCGACCACTGTACCCACAACCTCAGTCGAACCATGAGAAAAACATCACGCAGACACCAACCAAGGGATGTTCTCAAAGTTCTCGTCCCATACTCCTCAAAACTATTAACAGCGGAAACTACAGGGAAAGTCGGAGAGGCTGCCACTGCCCAGCGAGAGTAAGAAGACATGATGAAGAACAAAATTGTGGTTCCTGGGAGAGAAAGAGAAGATAATATCTGATTTGGAGTGTAGTTACTAACTATGGGCTAGAGTCGGTTCATTTTTTGTGACAAATACACTACACCAGTGTAAGAGTTCACTGCAGAGGAAAGTGTGGGGAGCATAAGGAGACTCTGAACTATGCCCTTTCTTTTCAAAACTTGTAAAATTAGAAGTTACTGAAAAAACCATTGTGGACAATCATTGGAGAGAAATAGTGCTCTGATTTGGTATATTCCTACCACAATGCATGCACACATGTGCACACACACACACACACACACACACACACACTCACTATGGAATATACAATAAGTTCCCAGTTTAGGAATATTTGAGTCTCAAACTTTTACAGGTGTACTGTATAAGATTCAAGGGTGTGCTATGTAAGGCTCACTGTCGGATTACGATAGAATTCAGCTTACGAACGTTCTGGACTGGAACTCTTTCATAAGTTGGGTACTTACTGTATAGTTAACAGGGATCATACCAAAAATGTGCACCATGAAGGCAAACTGTTTTTGAGACCTGAGACAAGGCCAGACGGTAGGATTTACACTCCTGATTGTCTTCTGCCAGCTCAGAGCCTGCTGAAATCTCTTTCTAAGCATCTCTCCTACCTTATGTCATTCAAGAGAAGTGGTAGGGGGAGTCAGGAATCTGCTTTCAACAGATTCCTCTCCCTGAGATTTACGGGAGCTGAACCAGGAAGCCACTGCCCACCAGCTTGATGAGGGCCCTCCGGAACTGAGTCCCTGCGTAGTAACATCAGCCCAAACTCCTCTTGTCTCTTTATAGGTCTTGGGTGATGGGAATCATGAGGAATGGCGCAGGGACGACAATGAGGAGTGGGTTACTCTCTGACCCCTCCTCCTGCTTGGCCAGCTTAAGCAAGATTTGTGACTGGCCCTGGATAGGAGGTGAGTCATTCACCAATGCTGGTATATCTTGAACTTCCATTTGCCTTCCTAAAAGTCAGGTTGCTTTTAGAACAGTGTCATGTAAGACAATTCCATATATGTTCATAAATGAGTTTTGAACCACAAAAACAATGTTTTCATTAATTGAAATCAGTGTGTGGTTTGTCTCCTTTTATACATTGGTGTGGAATACATTAACTGGTAAACCTAATACTCAATCATGCGTGTGTCTTCCCATCTTTCAATTCCTATGGGTAAGGGGCACACAGATGTCTCCTTCTGCTGGTGTTCATATGCATTGTGTGTCTGCAGGGACTTTCTAATGAAGTACAGCATGACACCAGATAAGAGGTGTGGGGCCACTAAAAACAGGAGTCAACATCTTTTTCCTTCAATGTACAACATGTCTTTATGCCACGTGGCCAACTGTCCCTGTCTTGCTGTCCACATCCCCCTTCCTGCTACCTAGTATAGTTTTAGCAGGACACATAGCTTCTCAGTTAAAGTTTATAATTCACTGGTTTTAAATCATTTACTTAAAGCCCTTTAATGAAGTCTACACAGTTCTAAGATTGGTAGAACAACGGCTGCTATTATTAAATCATAGGTCCAAGGCTCAGTGAAAATAAATGAATGTTTAGATTTAAGCAATTATTATAGTAAAAGCCACATTGCCATCAGTCCCCTTCAGTACATTCTCCCTCATTTTAAACCCAATTATCCCATTGCTCTTGTCGCTATCTGAAGAAGTTCTGGAAGGCCTTTTCATGGGCGTCTTTAGTTATGCTGTTGTGGCTTCCTCAATGTCTTGAACAGATTCAAAACATTAACCTTTTATGGTAACGTTTACTTTGAGGAAAAGCCAGAAGTTGAAAGGTGCCAGACAGAGCAATAAGGCGGATGAGGACACACTGTAATGCTGTGTTGAGCCTGCTTCTTCACTGGACGGCCTTCAGCAGCAGCATTCACTGTCTTTTTGGGCATACATCGCAGAAACAGGAAAGATGACTTTCAGAAGTGCTTCACGGCTACTGCTGCTGCTGGAACCACAACAATATACTGTTTTAATTCTTTGAAGCCGTTGTGATGAAATATCGTAACTCTATAATTTATAAACAATATAAATGTATTTCTCAATTCCAAAGGCTTTGAAGTCCAGGATCAAGAAACCCACTGATTTCATATCTGATGAGGATCCTCTTATTAATTCATAAATGATTTCTTCTTCATCTCTGACTTCTCCTTTTTTCTTTTCTTCCTCTTATTTTTCTCTTTCCTCCCCCTCCCCCATCCTATTTCTTCTCTCCCCTTCTCCTCTTCATCCTTCTTTGAAAAATTTATCCAACATCATGGCCAGACTTTTTTATGTTTAGTAATCAATAACATGGGTCAAAAATAAAAATGGGTCAAAAATAAAAATTTATATTAAATTTTGTATGGGAAAACCTTACACTTTCCCAAGAACAGTTACTAAAATAACCTGTTAAAAAAGGAGTCACAAATATAGCCCTTTAGTTTCTTGCCAGTTTATGTATTTCCAAACTTGTCTTTTTTGTAGCAACCAGGCCCTGTGTGCTCTGCGCTTGTCCAAGTTCACAAACGTGTTTATAACCTGTAGCTTCTCTGTCATTTTTCCAGCTCTTCTCTCCTGTTACGCTTTGTTCACTGGCGGTAATGAAAACTTTCTTCCACTGCCACTGTTACTGTGCTGCTGGCACCACCATAGCCACCTTGGTTGCCTGGTTTGGCAAAGTACCGACTCCAACACCGTAGGAGCCAGAGCTTCTGCCTTCAAATTTTCCTCTCCTCATGGGTCCAAAATTTGAAGACTGACTGTTGTAGTTGCCAAAATCATTGAAGCTCC